GAAACGAGTGGGATTGACCTCGATATCTTTGTCCATAGTGTTATGATGAATGGTTTGTGCAAGGGCGACAAGGTTGATGAGGCACTTGGATTGTTTAATAAACTTTCTGATAAAGGGATTGAACCGAACGTAAACACGTACAATACAATGATTACTGGATTTTGTAGAAAAAGTTTGCTCAGTGAAGCCGACAAGCTGTTTAAGAATATGAAAAAGATTGGTTGTATGCCAAATGATTGTACGTATAATGTACTGATCCGAGGTCATCTCAAAGGTGGCCATGTAGCAACTGTTATCGAGCTTATTCGGGAAATGAGAAGCTGCGGTTTTTCATCAGATGTTTCAACCGTGGAAATGGTTGTTGATATGTTATCGGACGGGAGATTGGAGAAAAGTTTTTTGGTTCTTCTTTCTCGGTGAGCTGTAATGCGGAGGTTGCTTTCGGTCATGGAAGTCTTGTGACAACGAGGTTAGTTCTTCTGTTCTGAATTTAGGCTTGTTTAGCTGTTCTCAATTTTCATCAGAACCACATTGATAGAACTCTTACTTTGTGGGTCTATGGATATTTTTATATCGGCTCGGCTGTACGTATAACGTGCCATCCTTTGCAATGCATGGAACATTGAAAACAGTTATGGTAAATTGGTCATAAGCTGAGTCCTTGGACTCTTGGCACCCTCCGCATTACAGCTCACCGAGAAAGAAGAACCAAAAAACTTTTCTCCAATCTCCCGTCCGATAACATATCAACAACCATTTCCACGGTTGAAACATCTGATGAAAAACCGCAGCTTCTCATTTCCCGAATAAGCTCGATAACAGTTGCTACATGGCCACCTTTGAGATGACCTCGGATCAGTACATTATACGTACAATCATTTGGCATACAACCAATCTTTTTCATATTCTTAAACAGCTTGTCGGCTTCACTGAGCAAACTTTTTCTACAAAATCCAGTAATCATTGTATTGTACGTGTTTACGTTCGGTTCAATCCCTTTATCAGAAAGTTTATTAAACAATCCAAGTGCCTCATCAACCTTGTCGCCCTTGCACAAACCATTCATCATAACACTATGGACAAAGATATCGAGGTCAATCCCACTCGTTTC